AATAAATTAATGAATGAATAAATTTGTATTTGCTCTGACACATATAGTAGATCTGCCGAGTGCAAAGTTCTGAGGCCTGTACCTTGAGTCCTTTAGAGGAAATGAGCTATGGAAACAGATTACAGGCAGCAAAAATAGCAACAGTAATACATCATTTACTCGGTGTGGTGGGGGCGAATTATGGTCCTCCCAAAGATACGTTCTCATCCTACCCCCTAGAACCTGTGAATGTGACCTTCTTTGAAAAAAAGGGTCTTTGTGGACGTAATTCAATTTAAGAATTTTCAAGGATCTTTAAATTACAGATCTCCAGTTGAGATCAATGGGATTACCCCAGTGCGTTCTAAATCCAATGAAAGATGTCCTTATAAGAAACAGAAGGCCAGGCACAGTGGCTCACGCTTGTAATCCTAGCTCTTTGGGAGGCCAAGACAGGAGGATTGCTTGAGTCCAGGAGTTCCAGTGCGGCCTGGGCAACACAGTGAGTGAGACCCCATCTCTACAAAAAAAAAAAATTACCTGGGTGTGGTGGTGCACACCGTAGTCACAGCTATTCAAGGAGGCTAAGGCAGGAGGATCATTTGAGCCCAGGAGGTGAGATCAAGGATGCGGAGAGCCGTGATCACCCACTGTACTCCAGCCCAGCCTGGGTGACAGGATGAGAACCTGTCTCAAAAAAAGAAAAGAAAAGAAACAAAAGGAGAAGGCTCAGACCCAGAGGAGAACATGCAAGATGAAGGCAGAGATGGGAGTGAGGCAGCCACAAGCCAAGGGGCGCCTGGAGCCGCCGGAAGCTGCAAGAGGCAATGAGGGATTCTCCTCTGAAGCCTCCAAAGGGAGCACAGTCCTGCAGATACCTTGATTTCAGATTCCTGCTTTTGAGAACTCTGAGATAATACATTTCTGTTGTTTAAACCACCTGGTTTGTGGCATTTTGTGACAGCAGCCCTTAGGAAGCTAATTACTCAAGGTACATTGAGCGCGTTTGTATGACCCCTAAGCTGAGATTAGTTTTCAGATTTTTTTTAGAGTTAGGATCTCGTTCTGTCGTCCAGGCTGGAATGCAGTGGTGTGATCATGGTTCACAGCTCACAGCAGCCTCGACATCCTAGACTCAAATGATCCTCTTGTCTTAGCCTCCTGAGAAGCTGGGACTACAGGTGTGCACCACCACACCCAGTTAGTTTTTTTGTTTTGTTTTGTTTTTTGTAGAGACAGGGTCTCACTGTGTTGCCCAGGCTGGTCTTGAACTCCTGGGCTCAAGCAATCCTCCTGCCTTGGCCTCCCAAAGTGCTGGGATTATAGGCATGAACTGCTGTGCCCAGCAGGTTTTCATATTTTTAAACGGCTGAAAAAAATCAAAAGAAGTGTATTTCATGACACATGAAAATCTTAACAAAATTCAAATTTCAGCATCCATAAATAAATTTGATGGGCACAGCCCTATCCACTCATTGACAGATCATCTCTAGCTGCTGTAGTGAGTTGATTATGTCTCCCTAAAAGGTAAGTTCAAATCCTAACTCCTGGCCATGTGCAGGTGACCTTATTTGGGTCTTTGTAGAGGTCATCAAGTTAAGATGGATTAGGGTGGGCCCTAAATTCAATAAATAGTGTGAGAAAGGAGGGGAAGATTTGGATACAAAGACCTAGAAATACGCACAAGGAAGAAGGCCAAATAAAGACAGAGGTAGCTGGGTCCAGTGGGATTACTCCTGTAATCCCAGCACTTTGGGAGGTCGAGGCAGGTGGATCCCCTGAGGTTGCGAGTTCGAGACCAGCCTGACCAACCTGGAGAAACCCTGTCTCTACTAAAAATACAAAATGAGCTGGGCATGGTGGATCATGCCTGTAATCCCAGCTACTCAGGAGGCTGAGGCAGGAGAATCGCTTGAACCCGGGAGGCAGAGGTTGCGGTTAGCCGAGATCAAACCATTGCACTCCAGCCTGGGCAATAAGAGCGAAACTCTGTCTCAAAATAAATGAATAAATAAAAATAAAAATAAAAATAAAAGACAGAGGTAGAGGGATGCAGCTATTAGTAATAAAAGTAATGGTAAGAACCGCAATTATTTTTGCACCAACCTAATGCAAGTTGAACTTTGCCAAGCAACGGTTCCAAACTCAGCTATTTGGGGGCTACAGCAGTGGACCTGAGTAGTTGTAGTAGAGATTTTATAATATCCAAGCCTAAAATATTTACTCTGTGACCCTTTACAAAAAGTATGTGCCAGGCTGGGCATGGTGGCTCATGTCTATAATCCCAGCACTTTGGGAAGCCAAGGCAGGAGGACTGCTTGAGGCCGGAAGTTCAAGACCAGCCTGGGCAACATAGTGAGACCCCATGTCTACAAAAAAATTTAAAAATTAGCTAGGTGTGGTGGTGCATGCCTGTAATTCCAGCTACTTGGGAGGCTGAGGCAGGAGGATCCCTTGAGCCGAGAAGCTCAAGGCTGCAGTGAGCTATGATTGTGCTGCTGTGCTCCAGGCTAGGCAACAGATCAAGACCTGTTTCTTTAAAAAAAAAAAAAATTGTGTTTGCTAACTCTGACCTAAAGCATTGTCATTATTTGTATAGTTGGAGATAGCATACTACTATATCTGCCAGGGGAAAAATAAACCACTCTGTTGGTAGCACCCCATTTTATAGATGGGGAGATAGAAGCAAAGATAGGTTAACAGAGTTATCTGAACGAGGTGGCCAGCTGTCATTCTGCATGGCAAAACATCTCATCCATCTTTTTCCAGCCACAGCACCATGACTTTCCTTGCGGGGAGAGACACCCCTTCCCACAATTCCCACAGTTTGAACAGGGCTGACTCCACCCCTTGGTTCCAGGGTTGGGTACCCAACTGTATTAGTCAGCTCAGGCTGCCTCTGCAAATACCACAGATTGGGTGACTCCAACAACAGAAATTTATTTTCTCATAGTTCTGGAGGTTAGAAAGTCCAAAATCAAGGTCTGGTAGGGTTTGGCTTCTGGTGAGGGCTTTTCTCCAGGCTTGTAGATAGTCTTTCTTTGGTGCAACCATGTGGTGAGAGAGCCGTCTCTCTCTCCGTCTTACAAAGTCACCAATCATATCAGATCGGGACCCTATCTTTCTGACCTCATTTAACTGGAATTACTGCTGAAAAGCCCTGTCTCCAAATACAGTCACACTGGCCGTTAAGGTTTCAACATAGATTTGGATTGGGGTTGGTGGGGGCACTACTAATGGCAATGCTAATCCGTGCATTCCCCTGCTTGGTGACTCTAGAATACAACCCAAAATGATCCCAAGTCATAGCATTTACCACAACTTTTAGAAAAGCAAGCCTCTCTGGCCAGGCGTGGTGGCTCACGCCTGTAATCCCAGCACTTTGGGAGGCTGAGGTGGGCAGATCATCTGAGCTTGGGAGTTCCAGACCAGCCTGGACAACATGGTGAAACCCCATCTCTACTAAAAATACAAAAATTAGCCAGGCATGGTGGCATGTGCCTGTAATCCCAGTTACTTGGGAGGCTGAGGCATGAGAATCACTTGAACCCAGGAGGTGGAGGTTGCAGTGAGCTGAGATTGTCCCACTGCACTCCAGCCTGGGCAACAGAGCGAGACTCTGTCTTTAAAAACACAAAACAAAACAAAAAACAAAAACAAGAAAGACTCTTTTCCTCTGCACTGAAGACAATGTGAGACTAGAGCAGCCAAGGGCATATGGAGAGGGCCTGCGGAGAGTACAGTCCACTTAAAAAGCAGAGCTAAGAAGTGAAGGGAGAATAGGGCTGCATCTTTGAAGCACCTAGATCCAGCTGTACCTGAAATCCTTTCATGGATCTCAGTTGACATGATACAATAATTTGTGTGTGTGTGTGTGTGTGTGTGTGTGTGTGTGTGTGTGTGTGTGTGCTTAAGCCAGTTGGAGCTGTGTTTCTGTCACTTGCAACCTGAAGAATCTTGACTAGTAGATGATCTCATAGCTAATAGTAGTAGACGGGATCTGAAGGCAGACCTGCTTAGCCCTCTAACATGTTTTAATGTATTCACCCTTGCTCTCTTTAAAGGTCAGTGCGAGCAAAGAAGGTGTAATGAGTGTGAATAAAGAAATACAATTATTTAAATAGAGCAGATTATTTCAGGAAGTGCTCCCTATTAGGAAACAAAACAAGCTTCCTAGGACTGAGGCTCCAATGTAGGCCCTGACAAAAGACCCCCAAAATTCCCAGCAGATGAGGAAGGGACCTTCTCTGGGCCCCCTCCTGGGAGTTCTGTGCCTTGGTTTCTGCCCAGCTCTGCAAAGGCTGTGTAACCTTGTGGGGGAGGGTGGGAAAGGGGGGTGCAGCTGAACCTGCCTGAGCTGAACCTGTTTGTGCCCCTGTCCTGCACTGGGAAAATAATTTTATTTTAATTTCATTTCATTTTATTTATTTTATTCGTACAGAGACAAGAGTCTTGCTCTGTCACTCAGGCTGGAGCGTGTGATATGATCATAACTCACTGCAGCCTCGAATTCCTGGCCTCACTCAAGCGATCTTCTTGCTGCCTCGGCTTCCCAAAGTGCTGGGATTACAGGAGTGAACCAGCATGTTCCGCTGAAGTCTGGGGCCAAATGTCACCCTTGTCATCCTCTGGCTTCCGCGGGGCAGCTACCACTTTCTCACTCCCTCCAGCACTTTTGTTTATTTTAGAGCGTTTTCTTGCTGTGGAATCCTTCCCCCAACTTTTTTTTTTTTTTTTGAGACGGAGTCTCACTCTGTCACCCATGCTGGAGTACAGTGGCGCCAGTACACCCACGCTGGAGTAAAGTGCCTCACTGCAGCCTCCGCCTCCTGGATTCAAGCGATTCTCCTGGCTCAGCCTCCCCAGCAGCTGGGATTACAGGAGCGCGCCACTATGCCTGGCTAATTTTTGTATTTTTAGTAGAGATGGGAGGGGGGTGGTCTCACCATGTCAGCCAGGCTAGTCTTGAACTCCTGACCTTAAATGATCCACCCACTTCGGCCTCTCAAAGTGCTGGGATTACAGGAGTGAGACACGCGCCCGGCCCCTTCCCTTTTTTGATTCCCATTTTTAAAAGGCTGTAAGCTTCAAGAAGGACAGAAACCTTGTCCATCTTGTCAACTGCGATTTCCCCAGCACCGTGGCTCTGGCCTGGCACATGGTAGGTGCTAGGTGAATACTGGTTTGAACAGAGGACAGACGCAGACGGCAAGGGCCACTCCTGTGCCAGGGCCTGCCACGCCACCACGGCTTGTGCAGTGGGGGTGGGGAGGATTGGACAGTTTGGCTTGCGCCCTCTTCTCCTTTTCAACGTCCCAGTATAACTTCAAGGGAGCGCAACTCCAGAGGCTCCGTGGACGAAGCCACCGCCCCGGAATCAGGGCCTTCCCAGTTCTGCCTTCGGGGAGGGAGGATGGGGGTGGGCCGCGGGAGGCCAGTTCCAAGCGCGTCCTGAAGTCCCTCCCGCCGCCCCGCGTCGCTTTAAGGCGGAGGCCCGGGAGGGGGCCGACCCGGCTCGCCAGCTCCACGCTCGGCTCCAGACTCCGGCATTTCCTCCCGGCTAGCTGGCGCGGCTTCGCCTCCCCCTCGGAAGAGGAAACTCCCGGGGTCCGAGTAACAGGGTCAGGCGCGGAGAGGAGCGGCGGGAGAGCCAGGAGGGCCGCCCAGGGTAGGAGGGGAGCCAGGCCGGGCCAGAAGCTGGCCGACGGCGGCGCGCGGGGGCACCGGGCGGGGAGGGCCGCTGAGTCGGACTCAGCGCGCAGCCGGGGCAGGGCGCGGCCCGGGGCCCGAGAGCGCAGGGCGGGCCGCAGCTGGAAGGAACACTTGAGCTGGGAGAGGAGGCCGAGCTGGAGGGCGGCTTCCCTCGGGCCTGCGATCGGGAAGCCGCCGCGGAGAAGGAGACGGGGACAGCGGGGCTGCCCGGACGCTGTGCGCATGCTGGGCTGGGGTCGCCGCCGGGGCTCGCCCCTTGGGCTGCTCGGCCACCGCCGCCCCGGGCGCCCGGCATGTCGGTGCACTACACACTCAATCTACGCGTCTTCTGGCCCCTGGTGACCGGCCTGTGCACCGCCCTGGTGTGCCTCTACCATGTCCTGCGGGGAAGCGGGGGCGCCCGGGCTGAGCCCCCCGACGGCGTGGACGGCGGCTTCCCGCTGCTCAAGGTGGCCGTCCTGCTCCTCCTCAGCTATGTCCTCCTGCGCTGTCGCCACGCTGTCCGGCAGCGCTTCCTGCCCGGGTCTCCCCGTCTGGGGGGTCACGCCGCCTTCTCCTCGAGACACTTCCGAGAGCCGGGCCTCAGCATCCTGCTGGAGAGTTACTACGAGCACGAGGTGCGTCTGTCTCCGCACGTGTTGGGCCACAGCAAGGCGCACGTGAGCCGGATCGTGGGCGAGCTGGTGCGGGCCGGGCGCGCCCGGGGGTCCCCCGGTCTCATTCCCGGGGGAGCGCTGGCCTTGGCCTTCCGCGGAGACTTCATCCAGGTGGGCAGTGCCTACGAGCAGCATAAAATCCGCCGGCCAGACAGCTTCGACGTGCTGGTGCCACTGCGCCTGCCGCCGCTTGTGGCGCTGGAGCCACGGAGCCTGGGCGAGGAGCCAGTGCTGGCCCCAGCCTTCCGCGGCTGCTTCGTGTGCGCCCTCAAGGCACCACCCTCACCATTGGGGGCCTCGGGGGGCCACTGGCTTCGGGACTGCAAACCCTTTGCTGATGCCTTCTGCGTGGATGTGCGCGGGCGGCGTCACCTCTCAGCTACTTTGGTGCTGCGCTGGTTCCAGTCGCATCTGCAGCGCTCCTTGGCCACTGTGCGTTACAGCCTGGAGGGGCGCTGTCGGGTCACCTTGACCCCAGGTGGCCTGGAACAGCCCCCCACCTTACACATCCTGCCCTGCCGCACTGACTATGGCTGCTGTCGCCTTTCTATGGCTGTGCGTCTCATCCCCGCAGTCCATCTAGGAGATGGGGTCTTCCTTGTGGCGCCACCACCGCCACCCCTGCCCAGCGCGCCCCTGTTGGAGCTCCCTGAGGGCCTGCGCGCGGAGGCACTGTGGGGTGTGAACACAGCACGCCAGGAGCAGAAGCTGCTGAGTTGGCTGCAGGAACGGGCAGCTCCAGGTGCCTGCTACCTCAAGTGCCTCCAGTTGCTTAAGGCTCTGCGAGATCTGGGCGCCCGTGGGCTGGACTCAGCGGCTGCCACCCAGTGGGGACGCATCCTGTCCTCATATGTGCTCAAGACAGTGCTGCTGGCAGTGCTGCTGCGCAAGGGGGCCCCTGGGCAAGGCTGGGACGAGGAGCACCTGGGAAAGTGTTTGGAGGAGTTGGTGCAGTTCCTTAGGGACTGTCTGCTGCGACGCCATACGCTCTTCCACTGCGTCCTGGGCCCTGGTGGGGCGGCTGCTGAGGTGGGTCCCCTGCCCAAGGCACTGCGGGAAGCCGCCCCAGTTGACCTCCTGGCCGCTTTCGACGGGCACGCCCGGGAACTTGCAGCGGCGCGGTTGCTGTCCACGTGGCAAAGGCTGCCCCAGCTTCTCCGGGCCTACGGGGGTCCCCGCTACCTTGCCAGGTGCCCCCCGCCCCGGAGTCAGCGCACCCAGGGCTTCCTTGAAGGTGAACCGTAAACCCTGACAGCACCCCCACCTGACCAAATGCTCCTAAAGCCTTTCTCACTGGGTGGGGGTGGGAATGGCGGCGAAGCCAGTTAAATGCAAGATTGCAGAAAGCAGAGAAAAATTTGGTGGCTGCCACAAGCTTTAGTGGCTTAAATATCACCTCCTCGCTTCACAGTCCAATATAATATGACATCTTCACACCCACTAGAGTGTCCTGGGCAAACTAAGGGAAAACATGCAACAGCAGCCCCAAGAATTGGTTCAAATGTTCTCTGTGGACGGATTCTGTAGAAGGATGTGGCTTTTACAGAAGTCCAGTAGAAGCAAGAACTAGCTGCAGGGAAAATTTCTTCTTGTCGATTTTTAGACACAGATCTCTCTGCCCAAATTAAAAACAAACAAAAACACTAAAGTTTTTGATACAATTACTTGCTAGGTACTTGGTTCCTGATTGTCTTTAAAAGGAAAAATCTGAATCTTTATTTGCAACTGGAATTGAAGTTCTATTTTAGGGGCTAATGGTCAGAGGAACATAATTTCCACTGTTCACGTTAATATTAATGTATTTTTAAAACGGTGCAATCACAGGTGTTTGACAAGATTGTCAAAAAATTAAATCACACAGATGGAAAGGCAATCGAGAGTTGATTAGAGAAACTTCCAGAGAAAAGAGCACTTTATATTGATCAATTCACTCATATTGTGGTAATTGCTAGCACCAAGCATTGCGTCTGAGAGGGAAGCCAGTTATATTTATTATTAAATGTACAGCCTTGAAAAGTGGCCAGCATGCTTGCCTAACATCACCGCAGGCCACAAGCTGGGATATGTACCAGTCCGTCAACACCCATTCATGGAACTACCTACTACCAGCCAGACATGGCTGGAACCAAAGCAGCAACCAGATACATATTCAAGACAACACTGGTGAAGGCATAAAACATCTTGGCTTTGGAGAAAGATGTGTTTTAGGCTTTGCCTGTAAAGGTGTTTCTCCAAGGCTGGCTGCTGGCTGGAGACAGAAACGTTTTTTGTTTTAAGGTTTTTAGCAAACTCCTTCACAAAGAGATTTCTTTCTGAGCTTAATGAGCTGATGAAAAGGAAATGCCTGCTGTTTAGCATGTGGTTTGTGCTGGATCTCTAACCATTGATGGTTCCTCCTTGTTCAGGCAGTCTTACGTGGTCCAGGAGACCTGTTGATTCAGCATAGGTCTTGCAAAACATTTCACTTATAGTTCAGTATCTTGGGCTCTGTGCTTGAAGGTCAGTTACTCCTTGGTCGTGGGCAAAGGAGACAAATTAGGAAAAGAGCAAGGGAGACAGCACTTGACAGCAGTCTGTCTCTTTTTTCTCTTTAGGTATCAGTATCACCAGGTTTGGTGTATTTTGCAGCTGGGAGGAGCCTGTCCTGGAATTCTTCCTTGTTCTACCAAATTTATAACAGCCCTCAATTACAGTTTTAAGTTCACCATGGCCCATCATCGGTTTGCCTGATTGGAAATGCAACCAGTCTAAGTGTTACACATTGGGTTTTTTTTTTTTTTTTTTTCTTAATAAAAACATGTACCTCCTCAGACTCTTACAGCTAAAATTTGGAAGACAGAAATGGCGTTGTGAATAGAATCATTGTTGAAGTTCTGAGCTCTTTGGAGGGAACTCTATAAACCTTCTTTCTTTAGGGATCCACTTGCCCGCTGTGGGAAATCATTGTGAGTAGGTGATTTACGGGGAATCCTTCTCCTCAAAGCTGCATTGGCTTCTTATATCCTTTGCAACCTTGGGCTGAAAGAGAAGCAGCTGCAAACATTGTGCATCTCTTTGAGGTTGTCTCGAGGCCAGTTCCCCGCAAAGGTCATTCCTAGCTTTGTGAGATCAATGTTAGGTCATAAGGTACTGCATTGTGCAAAAAAGTCAGTCTGCTAACTTTATGCAAAGATAGAAACTGCACAGTATTTTTTAAAAATAGTTTAAAAAATAGATGCCAATAGTAGATCTTATATATATACATATTTTTTATATATATGCATATATATATATATTTCCATACTCAACCACAGCTTCCTCTGTACTCATTGTCTGCTACAGTAGGACCAAGGGTTGAAAGGGTTATAAAGCTTTAAGGCTGGGCACGGTGGCTCACCCCTGTAATCCCAGCACTTTGGGAGGCTTAGGTGGGCGGATCACCTGAGGTCAGGAGTTCAAGACCAGCCTGGCCAACATGGCAAAACCCCGTCTCTACTAAAAAATACAAAAACTATCCGGGCATGATGGCGGGCGCCTGTAATCCCAGCTACTTGGGAGGCTGAGGCAGGAGAATCGCTTGAACCCAGGAGGCAGAGCTTGCAGTGAGCCGAGATCACGCCACTGCATTCCAGCCTGGGCGAAAAAGCAAGACTCCGCCTCAAAAAAAAAAGCTTTAAAAGCTGAATTTTAGAAATATTTCTAGCTGTGTCAATGAGTTCTTCTTTTAATAGTATTTTAAAGTATAAATCTGGTAACATACTTAGTTCTTGTAGTTCTTTTGTTAGTTTTTTTTTTTTTTTTTTTTCAGGTTAATTACCCAAAGCCTCATCCATCCTCAAGGTTTTTAAATTTTATTTTTTTAAAATAAATTGTGCATTGTATTTGTGAGTTTTTAAAATATACTGTTTTATTTAAATGCCATGCTGAGCAATTGTTCTCTGTACATGGTAACCAAAACTTAGAGATTTCGATCAATTTTGATCAATGTTTAGTAAACCAAAACATGTACTGTGTACAACGGAAATAATATGGCATATTAGCCAGGCATGATGGTTGCCCAAGACAGTTAAATTAAGCTCAATTCTATATTTTATTAGGGCTCCATTATGTCCTTCATCTGAAATGTACACATTTTTGGTGTATGCTTGGTACTGGAGATTCATATATGCAAATATTCTCATGCAAGAAGGCTCCACAGTAACAACAGCAAAAAAAAAAAAAAAAAAAAAAAAAAAAATTAGTTGTCCAGCCAGTGCCGGAGGAAAATGTTTTTGGGGAAGATGACTCAGTCATTTTGTGGCGAGACACCCTTCGGTAACTCCCACTGACCAGTCTTGGGAGCCTTCCTGGAATGATCGTGGGCTGAGCGGAGATGTGTTTTGCAAAATGAAACTGAAGCCGAAAGAAGGCAGAATTCGAATGAGGCAAGAGAAATCCAAAGAACTGGGGAAGGAGGACTTCAGATGGAAGTGAAGCAAGAGAGGGAAGGGGAAATGAAGTGAAAATTGCGTGAGGGTGTGAGAGAGGTTTGGGTTAGGAAACACATTTTTAGTGCTATTTCCAGCCAGGGGTCGCAAACTCAGCAGCCTGTAGAAATGGGGTGGGAGGTGGGGGGGAACCTGCACTCGCCTTTAAAGAGGGGACCGTTGCTCAGCCATGCAGAAAAAAATGGGGCAACAAGCTGGAAATCAGGTTTTTTTTTTTTGAAAAGTGAAACTTGATGATTTTTAAACAAGTAATTAAAAAAAAAAAATGTCCAAAATACCACGTGGGCCAAACATGTGTTTAAGCCTGGGGGCCACCAGTTTGCGACCACTGCCTTACACAGTTAACACCCCAAGTATGTATATGGTCATATGTTTTGTTTTGGATATGGTAGTATTATATATACTTGGGGGTGTGATATTTTAAATTATCTTAATCTCTCAGAGCTAAGCTTTATTGTAGAAACAAATAAAAAAAAAAAAAATTAACATAGCCACAGATAACACTTAACTCACAGTTCCCAGGAAGACGCTTGATCTCCAAGCTGCTCTTTTTGAGTCAGATCCTACGTCAAGCCACTTAGGACCAGTTTCTGGCATTTCTTTCCTGGTGATTTGGAGTAAACTTCTTGGTTCTGTCAGAGTTTGCAGATGAGTAATCAGGAAGGATTGCAGAATAACTTGTTTCTTTGTATTTTATTCTTACATTTAAATTAATTTTGGGGAGTTAGTGGTATCCTAGCTCATGCCTTTACAGTGGTGATTGCTTGCTGGATTTGGGGTGCAAGCTTTTTCAGCTTGTACCATGTCCAGTACCAACAACACAGGTTTTTGTTTTTGTTTTTTGAGACAGGGTCTCACTCTGTTGCCCAGGCTGGAGTGCAGTGGCAAGATTGCAGCTCATTGCAGCCTTGACCTCCTGGGATCAAGTGATCCTCCTGTCTCAGCCTCCCAACTAGCTGGGCCCACACATATGTGCCACTACACCCAGCGAATTTTTAAATTATTTGTAGAGTTAGGGTCTCCCTATGTTGCCCAGGCTGGTCTTGAACTACTGGACTCAAGCCATCCTCCCACCTCGGCCTCTCAGAGTGTTGGGATTATAGGCGTGAGCCACCACACCTGGCCTAAAAGCATGCTTCTGATCAGACTTCACTCCTGAATGTTTCTATCATTTTCTTTCTTTTTTTTTTTTTTTTTTTTTTCGAGACAGAGTTTTGCTCTTGTTGTCTAGGCTGGGGTGCAGTGGGATGATCTTAGCTCACTGCAACCTCCGCCTCCCAGGTTCAAGTGATTCTTGGGCCTCAGCCTCCCGAGTAGCTGGGATTACAGGCACCTGCCACCAGGCCTGGCTTTTTTTTTTTTTTTTGGTAGAGATGGGGGTTTCATCATGTTGGTCAGGCTGGTCTCGAACTCCTAACCTCAGGTGATCTACCCGCCTCAGCCTCCCAAAGTGCTGGGATTATAGGCGTGAGGCACCCCACCGGCCTCTATCATTTCCTGACTCAGCAGCTCCACCAAATTGACGTCCTAGTAAACACTGTGAAGGAATTAACGTAAGTGCTTCCAGAGCATCTCATGTAACCTCTATGGAGTAAGTCACTTTTTCTGTAACATGTGGCTTTTGACCTTGATGAAGACTTCGACTTCTCATCCCTGTCTGCATGGAGGAAGATGAGTCAGTGGCGGGGAAAATGAACCTCAGTAACATTTCCAGTGTCCCTCAAGAGGAAACAAGTTCAGTGTTATCATTGTGGCATTCGTTAGTTTTTTTTTTTTTTAAGTCACTTGTTTAGATACGTCTTTATTTTTTTTATACCTACATAGCGCATGACTGGAGGGGATAAAGCACGTATAAGTTGGGAGAGGGTAAAGAATGTGTGACTATGTATGCAGAAAATACACTAAAATGTCCAGCAAAATGATATATACTGTAATCTGGTTTTTGAAGTATCTACTATTCTGGAATATTTTTTAACAACTTCTTGCTTTTTTAAAAAAAGGTGCCTTGATTCAGTTGCTTGACTTAAAACATTCCTCCTCTTTTATTGTGATTTTTAATGTCTTCTGACCCCAAACTGTGTTTCTGGTTGCAGTCTGGCGGCTGCCGGCGTAGCACTGGTTTTGTTCCAATAACAGAGACCAAAGAGTTAATCAGATATGGGTCAGCTGCTACAATTGTGTGATTCAAAGGCAATTTAATCACCCCAAATTTCCATGATCCCCGCAGTCAAGACCTGCCATTCGTTTTCTCTTGCAGGTTGGAGGAAATTTGCACTTTGAATCATATGGGTCATTTGGGGACCTTGTTCTTTTCTATTTTGCTTTATTAATAAAGGAACTTGTAGAAACCTCTGGACTGAATGTCAGATCTGGGGAGGGCTTTCGTCTTCCCGGAGGGCAGCCTGTGCCTGTGCTGGCTTGTGGTTCTTTGCACAAGCCTCAACTGCTTTGAGCATCTGGGTGTATGGGAAACTTTCCCCATGCATTAAGGCTGGGGATAATTTTTGTGTAGAATTAGCTCTGTATACAGGTGTGAAAAAAATGCTAGTTCACAGCGCTACAGGTGTGCTCCCTGGAATCCTGAACTTTCACGTCTTCCTCCTGGCCTAGAACCTTCTGTCCCCACCTCTCCTCTCTGCCTCACTCTCCCACCCCTGCTCCCTCACACATACCCAAACACGATTCACGTCTTGGCCTGTGGCTCAAGAATTTTGTCCAGAAATCTCTTAGGCCCTCAGGCCCTTGCGAAATGGTAAACATTTGCTAATACAAAAAACCACCAGGCTTAGCAGGAGATAGAATCTTAGAGACTAAGGGCCGTTCAGAGCCCCAGAGCCAGGTGGAAACCCAGGGAAACCTGCAGCCATGATGAAACAGTAGTTGTGGTTAGGTGCAGTGGCTCACGCCTGTAATCCCAGCACTTTGAGAGGCCGAGGTGGGCAGATCACGAGGTCAAATGATTGAGACCATCCTGACCAACATGGTGAAACCCCATCTCTACTCAAAATACAAAAATTAGCTGGGCATGGTGGTGCGCACCTGTAGTCCCAGCTGCTCGGGAGGCTGAGGCAGGAGAATCCCTTGAACCTGGCAGGCAGAGGTTGCAGTGAGCCGAGACTGCGCCACTGCACTCCAGCCTGGCAACAGAGTGAGGCTCCATCTCAAAAAAAAAAAAAAAAAAAGAAACAGTAGTTGTGTAGGACACTTGCCCAGGGGAAAGTTGGTGGGGTGTGAATAACACTGTCCCAGGGCATCGAGGATACACACACAAAGGTGGCCAAGACAGACATGGCTTCTCTCTTAGGAGCTCACACAGAGAGGCAGAAAGGCAATGAAAGAACCCATTACTGTACAGCGTGGTGGGTGCTGGGTAGGAGAAAGTTTTTGAAAACCAAACAAGGGTACCTCGTGCACTTTAGGGTTTTCAGGAGAGCTCCTTGGAAGAAGTGACATCTAAGTTGAGATCCAAAGATAGGTGGGAAGTAGCCCAGTGAAGAGAGCTGGACTGGAGAAGAATGTATTGAACGCAGAGATGAAAGAGCATTCCAGTTTGACTGGAAAGTAGGGGTGGGTGGAGAGGAGGGGAGGAGGAGTCAGTGGAAGGGATGAGGTGGGAGGGAGTTTGAAGCCAGAGCTTCTCAAGCTGGAGTGCACAGATCACCTGGGTGCCTTGTTACAATGTAAGTTCTAGCTGCGTGCAGTAGCTCACACCTGTAATCCCAGCACTTTGGGAGGCCGTGGCGGGGGGATCACTTGAGGTCAGGAGTTTGAGACCAGCCTGGCCAACATGGCAAAATACCATCTTTACTAAAAATACAAAAATTAGCCGGGGATGGTGGCGCATGCCTGTAGTCCCGGCTACTTTAGAGGCTGAGCCCCAAGAATTGCTTGAGCTTGGGAGGCGGAAGTTGCATTGAGCTAAGATTGTGCCACTGCACTCCAGCCTGGGCAACAGAGTGGCACTCTGTCTCAAAAAAGCAAAAACAACAACAACAGAACCCCCAAGTTCTGATTCAGCAGATCTTGCCTTCTTTTTTAATCTCTTTTTCTGAGACAGGGCCTTGTTCTGTTGCCCAGGCTGGAGTGCAACGGCAGGATCAGAGCTCCCTGCAGCCTCAACCTCCCAGGCTCAAGTGATCCTCCTGCCTCAGCCTCCTGATTAGCTGAGACTACAGGCATGCACCACCATGCACAGCTAACTTAAAAATTTTTTTGTAGAGATGGAGTCTTGTTCTCTTGTCCAGGCTGGTCTCACACTCCTGGCCTCAAGCCATCCTCCTGCCTTGGCCTCCCAAAGCACTAGGATTACAGATGTGAGCCACCATAACTGGCCAGGGCCTGAGATTTGGCCTGTTTAACAAGCTGCCAGGGAATGGCGATGCCATTGGTACAGAGTCCACAGGCACACACACACACACGCACACACAGCGGCAGACCACACGGAGAGTTTGAACTGATCAAAGGGCACTGTGGAATCACTTTAGACAAGGAGTGGCAAGGTCACATTTGAATTTGGCTCACTCTGGCTAAGGTGTGGAGAGTGAATTATACAGGGGTTGGCAAACTACCACCTGAATATTTATTTTTGTAAGTAGTGTCATTGGTACACAGCTATATCCATTCATTAACATACTGTTTGTGGCTGCTTTCACGCTACCTGGGCAGAGTTGAGTAACTGTGACAGAGGCCAGATGGCTCACAAAACTGAAAATATTTACTTTGTGGCCCTTTGTTGAAAAGTTAGCCAAGCCCTGAAGCAAGACTATAAAGAATTGGATGCTGCAGTGGTCCAGACCTGGGCAGGGGGCTAGAGGTAGGGACAGAGACAAGTTAGAGACAGACAGTAGCATACATTAATGCAAAGACCTGTCGGCAGGGCACGGTGGCTCATGCCTGTAATCCTAGCACTTTGGGAGGCCAAAGCAGGCAGATCACTTGAGGTCAGGAGTTCGAGACCAGCCTGGGCAACATGGTGAAACTCCCTCTCTACCAAAAATACAAAAACAAACAAACAAAAACACAGGTGTGGTGATGCACACCTGTAGTCCCAGCTACTCGGGAGGCTGAAGCAGGGGGATCACTTGAACCCAGGAGGCAGAGGTTGCAGGCAGCCGGGATCCCACCACTGCACTCTAGCCTGGGCAACCGAGTGAGACTCTATCTCAAAAACAAAAACAAAAAAAAACAAAAAAGGCTTGTCTTCAAATCTTGTGTTCCGCACTTCTTATCTATGTGTCTCTACAAGTTACCTAATCCTCTTTGAATCTTGATTCCCTCATCTGTAAAATGGGATTAATAACGGAACCTCGCCCATAGGAGTGATTGAGGATTAAGTGAGATTTTTGCACGCAAAGTGCTTGGCACAGATTAAGCACCCAGTACGAGTCAGTGTAGAAGCAATTATTAGAATGGCCTGAAAATGCCATTCTAACAATCCCGGCACTTTGGGAGGCTGAGGTAGGAGGATCACTTGATTGCAGGAGTTCGAGGCCAGCCTGCACCACATAG